CTGCTTTCAGCCAAGATCCATCTAACGTCAGCAACAATATCCCTAGTACCAAGACCCCTTCTAAACCCAGCCTGGACTTCCGGCAGTTCTCTGCTGATGTGCTGTTCTAATCGTTTTTGGATATCACCCAAAAAAATTGACACAATATTAGTGGATTTCCCAAGGACAGAAAGTTTGATGAAACTTTCTGACAGAATTCAAAAGAACAATGATTAAATATTTTCAATGGATGAAGAACAAACTTGAAAAATTATAGGACTTTGCAAGCAAAAAACAAGAAGAACTTAAAAAACACAATCCAAGACAATGCAGATAAAACAAATGAGGCATTAGAGACTCTGGAAAAACAAGAAACCATAATACAGACTATGAGGAACAATGTTTCAGATGCTGTCATATGTTGTAGGGACATATGAACAGAGTTGAAAAGATGGTACACACAGCAACGAAATAGAAGATGGAATTGTCACCACTGATCTGCTAGAACAAAAAAGCAGAATTAAAAAGGAAGGGAAAAAGAAGAAAGTCTAAGAATAATGCAGGACACCATCAAGAGGAATAACATGCTCATAATCAGAATCCCAGAACAGGAAAAAGGTAAAGGCACTGAGAAAGTTGTGGAAGAATTACTAGAAGAAAATTTTGCAGGCATAATGAAGAATGAGAGAATAGATATTCAAGAAGCTGAGCGAACAGCATATAGAACAGACCCCAAAGAAAAACACAAAGGCATATCATGGTCAAATTTGACAGAACCAAAGATAAGGAGAGAATTCTGGAAGCAGTGAGGGAGAAGCAAAGAGCAACCTATAAGGGAAAGCAGATAAGGTTAGCAGAAACCATGCAAGCAAGAAGACAGTGGAATGATATATATCGAACACTCAAAGAATACAACTGTCAACTGAGTACTGTACGCAGCAAAACTATCCATCAAATATGATGGACAGATCAAGAGAGTCTCAGAAAAGCAGAATCGAAGGGAGTTTTTAAAAACAAGATAAACACAAAACACTGAGAGACATCCTCCTTACAGAGGTGCTACAGAAAGTATAATGGACCAAAGTAACCAGCAACAACACCTAAAAGAACTCAACAAAAGGATACCAATAAAACCTTGATTCGCAAAAATAACACTGAACAAGAACCATTTAAATGCACCACTGAAGAGACAAAGTATAGCCAACTGGATAAAAACAAAAACAAAAAACCATCAATATGCTGTCTACAAGAGACACATTTGAAAAGTAAATATAAAGAAAGACTAAAAAGAAAAGAGTGGAAAATATATACCAAGCAAATGACAACCAGAAAACACACAAAGAGTAGCAATATTAGTCTCTAATAAAATAGATTCCAATTCCAAAATCATCACAAAGGACAGAAATATCACTATATAATGCTTAAAGGGTCAATAGAACAAGCGCACATAATCATAGTAAATATCCATGCACCAATTGGCACAGCTGCAAAATATACAAAGCAAACATTAACAGAACTGAAGAAATAAATAGCACCACTATAGTAGATGGAGACTTCAATACACCACTCTCAAGAACAGACAGAACTACCAGAAAGAAACTCAACAAAGATGCTGAAGAATTAAAACCATACAATAAACCAACTCAATCTCATAGATATATAGAGGCTAATGTACCTCCCCAAAAAAGCACAAAATACCTTCTCCAACGTGCATAGAACATTCTCCAGAATAGATCACATTTTAGTTCATAACACAAGCATCAATATATTAAAACACATAGAAATAATAAAAAGCATCTTTTTGGACTACAACGCTTCAAAATTAGAAATAACAAGATGATAAAGGAGAAAAAAAAACTATACAATTGGAAGCTGAGGAACACCTTGCTTAAACATGAACAGGCACTAGAAGAAATAAAAAATGAAGTTAAAAAAGTTTCTTAAAACAAATGGCAATGAAAACTCAACTTAAAAAAACCTCTGGAAAACAGCCCAAAGCAATAATTAGGTCAATTTATACTGTGACTTTTATTTAAATTTAACCATTAATTCCACAGAACTACAGATAACCATATTTTTTACAGTTAACATGTGATAACATATAATAAAAGGACCTGGTAAACCAAATATTTATATATTATGGGCATAGATATAATTTTAAAAATTGTTACTTTAACAATCTGTACTTGCATGAGGAAAGATATGACTACATTTTTAATTCTATTGTATCAATTGTTCATGTTAAAGGAGATATGAGTATTGAAAAGGCATAAATATATAAAGAAAAAACTGGCAGATAAGGTTTATTAGTGATTAGCAGGGCCAGGCAACAAGAGTAATGAGGGTTCAGTGGTGCTGGGAAAATAATTCGTGTTGGTTGAGGGTCAGTC